TACACTCCCGTCGGACATTCAGTAATTCGAAAAAAAAAAAGAGAACGCCGGAGAAATAAACATCAGTGAAAAATGCGCGTATATATTTGGTTTTTTATACATAGTCCCTCCCTCTCTCTCTCTCTCTCTCTCCCTCTCTCTCTCTCTCTCTCTCTCTCTCTCTCTCTCTCTCCCTCTCTGTACGCTTTTTCAGCAGTCGCTGAAAATTGCGTGCGTTTAAAGTTAGAGGGAAAGTCAGTTGACACATTATTGTGAGAGAAAGGATTTACGAGACCTCAAATCACTTCGCGGATATTCGCCGTTCATACTTTTCGCGCAGTTGAATTCACAATTCGTCTCTTTCGTGCGTAACGAAATTCCGAAGATACTGTGAAAATTCCGACAAACGTTTGCCGTATTGCGTTAATTGATGCCGAGTGCCGCGACACTCTTTGATATCCGGACGAATCGGAGGACAACGCTTTGCCCTTGCCGACAAAGCGGAGATGCTATTTCATGCGTACGCGAACTGAAGGGTGGATAAAGGTGTTGGGAACTCAGAAGAGCCAATTAACACCACGCGGTCGACGGAATTACTCGCAATCATGCCCTTCGTACAGATGCGGGGACAATTTTATTTGATCGGTCAGCGACGAATAAGAAAGCCCAGTTAGCTAATTCGAATCGAGCTCTTGATCTCTCTTCATCACAAAATGGTCCTGTCTAGCGGTGCGACGAAGCGTTACGCGTTCCGAATGCTATATGAATGTTCCAAATAGCGGTGATGTCCAAATTTGTGACAATTGCATCCGATTCCGTTAATACATCAGCTAATGCGGGTCCATATTTATCCTAAATGTATTTTCTTATTAGGTGTACAACTTTGCTTCCGCCGTTTTTTTTTCGAAATTCGAGGCTTTATTGTAAAAAACTGGTTATACATTTATGATTCAAAGTATTGTCCATCGCTGGCCTATTTTCTCCCATCTTTCGGGCAGCGCACGAGTCCCGCGTTGAAAAAACTGGTTATCTTTTGAAGCAATCCACGAATCGATCCAATTTCTTACTTCTTCATAAGACCGGAAGTGCTGATCAACCAGGCCGTGTGCTATTGATCAAGACAAGTGATAGTCAGAGGGAGCAACGTCTGGAGAATACGGCGGGTGAGGTAGGACTTCCCATTTCAACGTTTCCAAGTATGTCTTGATCACTTTCGCAACATGGGGTCGAGTATTGTCATGCTGCAAAATCACTTTATCGTGTCTCTCGTTGTATTACGGCCGTTTGTCTTTCAATGCTCGGCTCAAACGCATTAATTGCGTTCGATAACGATCGCCTGTGATTGTTTCAGTCGGTTTTAACAGCTCATAATACACTACGCCGAGCTGGTCTCAGCAAATACAGAGCATGACCTTGGAGCCGTGAATATTCGGTTTGGCCGTCGACGTGGAAGCACGACCGGGATATGCCCATGATTTTCTGCGCTTGGGGTTATCGTAATGAACCCTTTTTTCGTCCCCAGTTACAATGCGATGCAGAAATCCCTTCCGTCTTTGCCTTTCAAGCAACTGTTCACGCAAACAAACAAACAAACGCAAGCAAACAAACGCCGTTCAATATATCTCGGTTTCAATTCGTACGGCACCCAATTTCCTTGCTTCTGAATCATTCCCATGTCTTTGAGGCGTTTTGAAATTGCTTCTTGAGTCACTCCCAATGATTGTGCCAATTCTTCTTGACTTTAACACGAGTCTTCATTAAGTAATGCCTCCAATTCTGCATCTTCGTAAACCTTCTCTCTTCCACCGCTATGCCGGTCTTCGACGTGAAAATCACCGTTCTTGAAGCGTTGAAACCACTCACGACACGTTCTTTCACTAATAGCGGCCTCACCATAAGTATTTGAGAGCATTCGATGAGCCTCAGCCGCAGATTTCTTCATATTGAAGCAGAAAATTAAAACCTCCCGCAAATGACGAGAATTTTGCTCGTAAACTGACATTTTCAAGAATAACTTTATGATGCAGACACAAATCGACTAATGTTTCTATGGGGTTATGTTGACAGATGCCCAAGTTTATTGCATGACGTTTATGATCTATTTATTTCGATCACTACTTACCGCTAAAGCCATCTATAGGAAAACGGCGGAAGCAAAGTTGTACACCTAATAGTTTAAAGTTCAAATATTATCGACTACAGAGTAGAGTCTCGAATAAAATTAACCCCTTAGCTGTGTCAATAACGAAAATATCCGCAAATTTTAGGACGATAATATGTTTCATCTGCATTAGAAAATTTTGATTTTAAATTTAAACTGTGTAGATTCAAAAATCTCTGAAATTCTATTTTTATGCAAATTGAATAATTTTCTATATTTTTCCAGCCATTATTGGAATTATCATTTTTTATTTAAAACTTTTCTTTCGAATCCGAAATCAGTGGCTTAAAAAAACGTAAAAAATTAATTTTTATACAAATTAGTAATTATTTTAAATTTTTCGCAGCTGTATTAGATTCGCCATTTTTTTAATCAAAAATTTTTATTTTGAATTTAAAAATATCGACTTCGAGAAACTCTCGATAAAAATTTTTATGAGAATTGAATGAGCATTTGGTCTGCCATATTGAATTCGTCATTTTGAACTTTGAAATTTTCATCTCAAATTCAGATTTAGCGACTTAATAAAACCCCAAAAAGTATCTTGTTTATTATTTAATTAACTCCATTTTCAAGATCATTTTGGACACTTTGAACAGTTATTTACCGATATCTCAACAGTTGATAGTTAATATCAAATGTCTGCCAGATTTATGCAATTGCTTTTTAATTTCTTCAGGACTAAATTGTTGATGGAAAAATAAAACTAAACTTTAAAACAAATTGAATCAAACTAGAAAACAAAGCTTCAGTCATTTTCGGAAGAGAATATTATAAATTTAAATCTTTCTATTATTATATAATTACAAAAAAATACAGAACACAATCAAAACTCCAAATGTTCAAGCTTCTCAGCAAAATCAACTTTACTACTTAGCTTAACAGGTATATTATTAATTTATTAATTTATTTTTATGATGAGGTTACTTAGATCGCTAATTAGGACATTCGCCTTATCAAACGATGCGATAAACAGTTGCGTGTGTCGAATATTCATTTTCCTTCGAGTTATTCGTGCATCAATTTTTCTCCGCGCCCGCCATTGTATGCACTTTGAATTCACAAACGCACTGATAGTCATCCGGATGAATGGTCACGATATTCGAACAATTTGGCGTTCAAAATACACATATGTGCGTGTGTGTGTGTGCATATATTATTATATTTCGCTATGACTAATGTATCCGATAATCCACTCAAGGGAAGATAGTTTCGCGAGCAATTATTTAAATAAGTAACTACAACGCGTCGTTTGAATAATTCCCAATGCCGGCGCGATACCGCGAAACACACAGTTATCATGGTATAATTATTGGGTCGTGAGAGAAAGAGACAGAGAGAGAGAGAGAGAGAGAGAGATAGAGAGAGAGAGAGAGACTTGTTCATCAGATAGTGTTTAAAGAGACCCTCGTACACCATCTCTGAAGCTTTACACTCGTGGATAAAAGCCTTTCTCAAACAATCGCGCACGATATCGCGTGGCTGCAATCTAAGCTGAACAAGATTAACGCATTAACCTCGATTTATCCGATCGGCTATTAAGATTAGCTGTAATGCGACATTCGCCAACACCGATTACTTCCGAGCTTTTGTTACGGCGTTGTCCAATTAGCCTGTGTAGGATGTGGAAGCGATAAATATCGCGCTATTCTTGCGCCGCTGAGACGGGCAGCCTCATGCAAATCAAACGCACAATTTTAGCTAGTGAGAAAAAATTAACAATAATGATAATGATAACAACAGTAATAATGTATTCGGACGGTCCGATAATGGACACAATTTAGGCTCCTTAATTTTACAAATTGATTAATTTTCGTGTAATATCGTTAAAATTTCGTACCAACGTTCATTATAGTGTCACGATGATATCGCCGATGGCGTAATGGATGTTACCACGAGTTTATGTTGTTTCCGCGCAAACTAGAAATTTATATGCTTTTAGAAACACATTCTACCAGCCGCCACACAATTTTCGAAATTTATGAGCTCGTCTAGTTTTCCGAGCAATGTCGATACAAACATATGATACTTCTTTAGAAGAAAGTAGAATTTCACATTTGTCTTCATTGTGGTTGATATCATGTAGAGTTTATCTATGCCTCGGACTCTCGAAACATGAAGGTTATTTTTAAAACTTTTATACGAGCGAACACACAGAATTTTTTTGCCTGAAGATATTGTCTCAGAGTCATCTCTAAAAAATATAGAAGAACATTTTACACATTGCTATTTCTTTTTCTCAATGTTGAGTATACTAATAATCAATTAAAATCTTAATTGACTAAAATAATTGCCAAGTAAATATTCAAAATTAATCGTCATATATGTCATTATTATTAAAGAATCCAGTCGATTGAAGAAATTAATCAGCAATAATCAATCATCAATAATCGGTCAAGTCAAAATAATCGATCGAAACAATCATTAAATGTGCCATCATGATTTACTCGATATAGATTCTAATCACTCTGACCATCCAAAATTTTTCAATTAATTAATGCTCGACAAACCGCTTTGTCTCTGCTCGGCAATTTTGCATTGCCAAGAGCGAACATTATTCACAGTAAAATAAGATAGTAAAAGGAAGTAATCAGTAAGTCGAAATCGAGAAAAGCTTCGAGATGTGTCAACATCAATTTCTCGATTTCAAATCGTTTATCGCTATATACACGATGTAAGAGAGCGAGCGCGTTTACGTGACGTGTTATATATATTCATGAAAATGATATGTAGACTGATCGCACTATTTTTCCAAGGACCGGCACGAGAAGCCATATATATTTTTCTACGAATTGATAGAAAGCCACGGGCTGCAGTGCTTTAAGAAGCCCTACACACCGCGGGGAATTGTGGTCTCTACCTTTACATGGCCGTATTTCCACGTGAAAAGAACGACGGCTGGCAAGCAGGCGATGATGCAGCACTCCAGGATCAGTATCGCGGTTCTCATCAGCCAGTTCAGGGATACTACGCAAGGCGAGCCGTCCTCGCAAAACTCGCACCCTTCGGCACACGGCAGGCATTCGAACACCCCGGTTACGGCGTATTGACTCCTTTCACCCTGTTGATAAACGTGAAATTATTTCCTGTGGCGTTCTCCGCGAGGAGAAATGCAGAGCGTCGTAAACATTATCTCGAGATTGCTCATCAGGGACTGGAATTGTGAAACACGAAAAGAGAGAGAACAAGAGAGAAAAAACAAGAAAGAGTGAGGAAGGAGGGAAAAAGAAAGGAGAAATTTTCTATCTTCCGAAGAAAAATATTTGACACATCAATTCCTCTCTACTGTTTCTTTTAACATAAATTCCGTACCGCCGCGCCGTCAGAGCAAATTTTGACTCGTGATTGCTGGGATGCTGTTTAACTAAGAGCATTCGGTAAAGAGTATTTAACGACCTTTTTTTCAATCAATCGGGTCAACGACGAACGTTCGAGTGATCGATTTGAAGGAACGTTGTAGAGGGCGAAAGCTCGTTTTCTTATATTCCTTTTTATCGCGGGGACGCCTCGAAAAGTGTACAGAGTGTAACAGCAACATACAGGTCAGTATGACGCGTTACTTGCCCCTATTCGGATGATAATGCAGAGGTTTCCGAAAAAAGTTACTCATTAACTTTGTTGATAATGATATTTGCCATATTCCTAGTTATAACAAATGCAACTAACTTTGCACTATGATCGTTATGACAGTTTATCGGCCGTTTACCGATAGGAGTCGAGCCTCATTGAATTATAAAAAATGTTTAAAAAATGAAACTGAGAAATAAATATTACGAAATAAAGCAGAATAAATAAGAGTAATATTTAAAGAGATAAATAATACAACATATTTCCTGGTTTCCCATAATTTCTTAATTGTTTTCTCACGTTGGAAAGTTCGATAGAAATTGGAGATTAGGGAGAACGATACAGAAATATTTAAAAGTCTTATATACTGTATTTCATGTTTCTACAAAAAATCGCTTCTGCAAAATATGAATAGACTACAAACGCAATATACATATTGGTTGCAATTTAATCGACCGCAACTATCAAGCTGCAAAAAATTTGGAAAAATAGGCCCTATTTTCGATAAAAGATACAAGACTACAATGGCCCTATAGATTATAAAAGGCCATATTTTCGATGCCAAGATACAAGACTATAATGTATCGAAAATATGTCGCTTAATAGTTGCGGTCGATTGCAACCAATATTTATACTGCGTTTCTAGTCCATTCATACTTTTGCAGAAGCGATCTTTCGTAGAAACATAGATAAAATACAGTATGTAAGACCTTTAAATATTTTTATATCGTCTTTTCTAATCTTCAATTTCTATCGAACTTTTCAACGTGAGAAAACAATTAAGAAATTATGCAAAACCAGGAAATGTGTTGCATTATTTATCTCTTTAAGTATTACTTTTGTTCATTTTGCTTTATTCCGTAATATTTATTTCTCAGTTTCATTTTTTAAACATCTTTTCTAATTTAATGAGTCTCGACTCCTGTCGGTAAACGGTCGATAAACTGTCACAACGATCATAGTGCAAAGTTAGTTGCATTTGTCATAACTGGGAACACTGCAAATATCATTATCAATAAAGTCAACGAATGACTTTTTCGCCAACCTCTGCATTATCATCCGAATAGGGGCAAGCAACCCGTTATACTAACCTGTATGTTGCTGTTACACCCTATACGTGGTAAAAAAGCCACTATTGAATTTCCGTTTTCTCCTCCAGGCGTGTCTCGTCTGAAGCAAGCTAAGACATAATGTCTACGTTTTATATAGCAGACGATGATACTTCGTTTATAATCGAGACCGATTATTAACAAAATTCGCCGACGAGGCCCATTACGAACGTCGCGCGTCACAAACGGTCGCGCGCGCGTGCAGACTACCGAAGAGTGCGACTGGAAAAACTGGTTTTACCAGCAGCGCTGCGATGGAAATGCCCGTCAAATCACAAAAGATACGTAACTCTCTGTGACAATAGATGCCATCGCGCTCGCTGTCGATACCCATTTTGTTCCTACGGGCGCAAAAGTGACGGCTGGCCCGACGTGAAAACTGTGCCGGGAAAAAAAAGGCGTTCTACCGTCGTGGTAATAGAATGTACGGCAACGCGTGTTACCGTCGCAACGTTGTAGCCGGGCGAACGATTTAATTGCAGTTTCGTGCAACGATTCTTTTATTTTCAGGATTCTGTTTTTTAAACCAAATAGAGAGGATTGAAAAGAGATGGAATGACCCGACGTGAATTGTTAATTCCGGCCTAAATTTGTTCTCGTACGCGATGACAAATTACATTTGCGGATATATTTAAAGATATATTATTATTAGGAGTGTGATTTAATTTGGGACTTTACGGTTTTTCACTTCCGTAATATCAGCTGATACAACGAATAAGCATTTTCGAAACGATAAGACTGAATGTTACGTCTACTTTTGCTTTTTCTAAGATTTTTATGAAAAAAATGTAACTCCAATCTTAATTTACTATCTATAATAATTTTGAAATGCTAACGACGGGCATATAGTAGTCTTTTTCTCAAAAACTGATTTATTTAAACAAAATAATGAACGAATATTCTAATCAAAATATTTTCTTTCGTTCCTTACAACTTTTTCTTTGGAGTTGATCCAATTATCAACAAATTTTCACACTTGTTCCGTCAAGTTATGAAAGTGTATATCCTCTATGCTACATCGGCCGGAACAAGTGATAATCGGATGGAGCAATGTCTGGAGAATACGCAGGATGCGGTAAGACTTCCCATTCCATCTCTAATAGCGTTTGCTGCGCTGATAATACAACGTGAGGTCGAACATTGTCGTGAAGAAAGATCACTTTGCGTCATTTACTCGCAATTGGCGATCGTTTTTGGTCCGATGCTCGCTTCAATTTGTACAATTGTTGTCGATAACGATCAGCGGTGACAGTTTCATTCGGATTTAACGGTTCATAGTACACAACACCTTCTTGATTCCACCAAATATAGAGCAATACCTTTGAACCGTGAATATTGCGCTTCAAGATGGATGTTGCTGGTTGGCCTGGATCAACCCGTCATCTTTTTTATTTGGGATTATCTAAATAGATCCATTTTTCATCCCCACTAACAATTCGATACAAAAATACTTTTCATTTTTTGTCTGGCGATCAACGAAATGCAAATGTTCAACCGGTTCGCAATGGCATTTTCTGATAATTGATGCGGAACCTATTTCCCTTATTTGTCTTCCCTGTATCATGTAAACGTTTAGTAACTGTTGCACAATCAACATTTAATGCTCTGACAGTTCCAAAGTGGATCTGCATTTCCAAGTTTTTCTGGTTATCCCAAGCGATCCTTGTCGTTAACAATGAAATCGCCATTTTTGAATCGCTTAAACCAGCGTTTTTCAATCGGTGTGTCGCAGTACACTGGTATGTCGTGAGAGGATTTAAGGTATGCCGCGAAAATTTTCAAACATCATTAGTTAAATTATTTTCGAAAGCAATTCAAAACACAGTAAGTATAAGCATCAAAATTAAAATCTGTTTGAATAGATTATACGAATATATCATTGTTATAATAAATAAACACCGGCTTATTTCTAAAGTAGGTTTATTATAAAAAGCGTTTATTATAAATTATAATAAATTGTTTTGTTTTATTTTTTGGCCGTGATGGTGTATTTTGCTTGTGTTGATAAATAAATCAAAAAAAGTATATTCTTTTTTATATTATTTTTTTGATCATCATAATTCAAGTGTGCCGCGGAAGTTTAACTATAGGCTCAAGTGTCCAAGTGTGTGTGTATAAGATAAAATAGGTTGAAGAACATTGGTCTAAACCAATATTCTCCTGTCTTAATTGATAGAGCATCACCATTAGTTTCTGTCAGAACTCTATAATCTTCAACCGCCATTTTCTTCTGATTAAAAACAAAAGTAACGCATGTCGAAAATGTTCTTTAGAAAACTCCATTTTTAAGATGATATTAACACGATTTTTACTGCGCTTATTGTTGGTAAATCACTAAATATCATGGATTAATATTAAAGCATTAATAATATTAAAGCATTAAGAAATAATAGCTGTGATTGGAATGTCTTGGACAAAACTGACATTAGTGCCATCTCTCTTACAAAACTTTCAAAAATAAATCACACTCCTAATATACAGGGTAAAAAAAAGTCTCGGACCGGAAAAATATCTCGAAAACCAAGCATTTAAAAAAAAATGTTTCGGATAAAAATTGTATAATTTTCAGGGGGATATAAAACAACTATATTATTTTGTTTACGAATGGTACCACTTTCGAGATATTCACTGATCGTTACTTTCCTTAAATGAAAACTCCAATTCTTTATTACACTGTCTTTTTCTATCAACTAATTTAAACAACTTTTGTCTGAAACATTTTTTCATTTGCCTAATATTTTTTTAGATATTTAAGAAAAACTTGATAACTTTTTCAATATTTAACTCACGATATCATCTCGCTAACTTTGTCAGAAGAAAAAGTGGTACTAGACTTTTCTGCTCTACTTAATCTTAAGAATATATTGCTACAATAGCACCTTGACTTTTGTTAACTTACTGACTTTTGGAAATTTCAAAATCATCATATTAACAAAAGTCAAAGCGCTATTGTAACAATATATTCTTGAGACCAAATAAAGCAAAACAATCTAGTACCACTTTTTCTTTCGACAAATAGTTAACGAGATACCGTAAATTAAATATTGGAAAAGTTATCAAGTTTCCCTTAAATATCTCAAAAAATATGAGGCAAATAAAAAAATGTCTCAGACAAAAGTTGTTCAAATTAATTGGTAGAAAAAGACGTAATGAAAAATTGATTAAAAAATGTAATAAAAAATTGAGGTTTTCATTTAAGAAAAGTAATGATCAGTAAATATCTCGAAAGTGGTGCCATTTGTAAACAAAATGATATAGTTGTTTTATGTCTCTCTTGAAATCATACAACTTTTGTCCGAAACATATTTTTCTAAAATGCTTGGTTTTCAAGATATTTTACCGGTCCAGGACTTTTTTCTCATTCTGTATATCATTATATAATAGCTATATGTTGATGTTATATATTATTAGTGATAAATGATAAATGATAATGTCCTTTCTCTCTTTGCTTACATTGTAGTTATTGCATATTGTATGCATATTGTAGAACTGTAAAACTCAAAATTGAGGATACTTCAATTTTAAATAGTATAATTAACGGACCTAGATTAATTACATAATCAAGGGCAATTTCTCGGCGAGAAAAGTGTGATCGAGATTAAGCGAATTAAGATTGTCTGCAGGTCTTTTGTTTCAATTTATACCGGGTATCGATTTATCGTCGGAAGAATTTACTCAGCGTACGAGAGGGGTTCCAAATTGTTTTTCGATCAGGAGCTCAATTTTCCCTGAGTGTATGCAAATGGATAGCTGACGATATATGTGTACAGAATGTTCCACTGTCAACCCGTTAAATTTTAATGGGTCGATTGATTCCTGGATCAATTTGCCGTGGTTCTTAACTAAGGAGAAGGGGGGATGGGGGAGACGAACTCTCTCTCTCTCTCTCTCTCTCTCTCTCTCTCTCTCTCTCTCTCTCTCTTTCTCTCTCGAAATTCATCAAAGAAACTGTTGTTAAAGCCACGAACGCGTACATTGAAATTTGATGAGATCGTAGCGAGACGTTCTGTAGATAATATTAACATAATGTCGCCATTTCCATAACAAGGTGCTCCCTATCTATACCGAAAAGGGCTCCGTGAGGAAAGATTTAGTATCACCAAACAGCATTAACTCTTGCGCGAAGCGCGCTTAAAGCAGACGGGGGCGTTTCTTTCTATTGTGCACATTTTACTTTATTCGCAAACTACTCACCATCATCAATTTCTCATACTCTTCCTCTATGACGGTACCATTGTAATACCGCTTGTCTGATTTCGTGTCCGGATAGAAAAACCCTCGTTTGCAAACACATCGATAACTACCGCGGCGGAAGCCAAGGCCGGAAATAGCAATGCACTGTGAACAGAAGAGACAACGCCATTAATCATGTTTATAATACATTCTCTCTCCATTATACTAAATCACACAATGTTGTTCCTAATTTTTTTGCATAAATCTTTGACTATCAGCAGCACAATCTGCGCGATGTAATGTCCTCTTTTTTACCTTCATTTTTGTTCTTGTTAAAACTATCGTACCATGTAGATATTAACTTTACGCTACTTTCTCTTGCTAATTTAGTTGTCCATCACATTTACCAATTTTATAATTAATTATTCTTCAATTAATTAGATCATCAACCTTCTCTTTCATGTGTAAATATGAATTTAGTTCATCCTTGTAATAATTCATGATTTTTTATGTATATGCTTAATTACTGTCTTTAAAAAGCTTATTCTAGGGCTAAAATAAACATCCCTCTTTCTCTCTCTCTCTTCCTCTCTCTCTTTCTCTCTCTTTCTCTTCCACCCTGTTCAAATCAAATATTTTTCCGCAATTAAACATCGAAAAATCACGCGGGACTTAAACTTTGAAAATTAATGGAAAAATTTTACAACGAAAATACTTTAATTTAGAATTTAAAAAGATATGTTTGAAAAAAAAATGAAAATGAACTCGTTTTATCAGAACGAATTGCGCATAAAACGTAACGCAAATTTTAACGTAAAAAAGTAGCGCAGCGCGTGTATTTTTCACACACATTGCTGCAAATATCGCTGCTTATTCAAAAGGGAAAAATGAACGGGAGAATATTTTTAAAAAATGTCAATGTTATTATATATTAAAGCGTAGACTTTTCTAGTGAGCAAAAACCACGTTGAGACGACCCGATAGTGTCCAAACAATTGTTTCGCGTGTATTATCGATGTGCCGGTCGGTTATTTTGTATATAAGCTACGGAAATTAAACTGAAAGGAAAAAGAGATCGGTGAAATGACGGCGCGGGAAGTTGAACGTGGAAAACCGTGAAAAATGGTCCTTACGTTGTTGTCGGCGGCAACTATTGCACATTCCCGCCGCTAATGTTCACGGCTCGTGTCGTAAAAAGAAGTGGCGTTTGAAACGCGTTCTCTTCAAATTACAATCCCGTCGGAGTACGTGAGTTATCGTAACCGCGGCCCGGAAGAAGGTGGTTTCAAGGGAGCGTGCGCCAAAGTCACGAGTTTACATAACGCAATGACCGACAGTAATGTGCATTGTACACTTCTTGCGCACTGCACGCTATTTTTCTCGTAGATTATATATTGTGATTCTCTCTCTCTCCCTCTCTCTCTCTCTTTTTCTCACATAAGAAATAACGGAATATTTACCAACCTATACAAACGTGCATTCCGTCAACGGAAAAGTGAGTACATTCTTACTGCGCCATACTGATTTCGATCAATGATTCGAGTTTAACCCTTTGCGTCACGAATCATATGCGTTCCACTTATATTTTCTTCATTTTTCGATTATATTTCATAGAATTCATTAATTTTAATGATTCTTTTTCTGCTTATCCACTATTTGAATCATAATTCTATTTATCACTTCTATCTCAATTCTATTTATTTCTATTCATTATTTATCATAATTCTTAATTATAATAATTCTTAATTATAATAAGTGTTCATTGATTTCATCAGTATTGTTTATATTTTCGGTAAATATACAGAAGTACACAGTCAGCTCCGATTTTAATGAGACTAGGCTCATTTGACGCGTTTTTGCACGAGAAACAACTTTTTCCTTTGGCAAAATCGTCGCTCAGTGTGTCAACATCAAGGTCACGGGACACTCGGAATTAGTTACGAGGTATGTTTATGTCGCCAAAGTTCGTCGATATAACAGCTTTCCTAACCTGAATTATAATCTGCTTTAACGCTTCATATCTCACTTCGCGGAACTGAGCGACGATTTTGCCAAAGGAAAAAGTTGTTTCTCGTACAAAAACGCGTCGAATGAGCCTAGTCTCATTAAAATCGGAGCTGACTGTGTACTTCTGTATATTTACCATATTTTCTTTGTTATAAACAAATTAAGACGAAAAAAGAGTTTTTTAGAATAAATTCGTTTCTGAAAAAAAAATCCCTATAAACATACTATTTTTTCACCTAAATTTGTTTTTGAGGTCGCTGATTACTAATCCGCTATCAGATTTGGGTAAAATAAAGTATTTTTTAGTTATAAACAAAATATTGAAGCTGAATTTCGAAAATTTGTAGAATTGCGCTGAAAAGTTGTTATTCTAAGTATCGTTTTTCTATAAAGAAGCAGTTTTCTATATTATATTTATCATTTTGAAATTATTGATTACGAATCCGTAAATAAATTTTTGTTATATTAGTATTTTTCATGATATAAACAAAATATTGAAGAAAAACACAAAAATTGTGGAATAACATTGAAATTCGATAATCTTTAATGTTTTTCTTCTTAAATTCATAGTCTTGATTTCGTTATATATGTGCAGATGGTTCGAAAATTTGTCGAATATTTTGCTATAAATAATTTATTTATTATTATTCCGACAAATGATGAGTTTTCTTTGTAAAAGAAGCGACATATGTTTCTATATAAATTTGGATATGCTAAACACGAATTTGCTATTAGAATTGACTATTAGGCTATTCAGAATTCAATCTTCTCAGTGAAATAAATATTTATATTTATTCCTAAGTAACAATCATCCGTATATAGTAAGCATCGTATTTTTTGGAAATATATGCTCATTTCACACACAATTTTTACGACTTCAGACGATTATGTTACAATACAAATCCGATATTGACCCATCAACATTGGCAGTCTTATTTCTGTATATGTTTTGTATATTTCTTGTAATATTCGTCTTCGTATCTTACAAGGTTCTATTGATAATAATTCCTAAGTGAAAGTTGTTGGATAAAATATTAACTCGTCAACTAAATATCCTTTCAAGTTGCCATATTGCGCCATAAGTCTTCCATTTTGGATCGCATTTTTTCGAAATTTTGATGGCAGATTCGAACTCAGCGATCCTAAGAACGTATAGAATCATGATTTTTGTGAGAATTCGACCACTCGCTTAAGCCATTCACTGCTGAATTAACTTTCCTTGAGAAAATTGTTAAAATATTTGGTAGTCCTACGTTTTTTGAGTCGTTGATTACGAATTTAAAGCCAAATTTGCAAAATTCAAAATGGCAGACTCAGTATGGTGATCATGATGTACAAAATAAAAATTCCAATTATTATTAAATAATGACCAGGTCGTAATAAGAACATATGATTCTAGACGATAGAATTCGATCGAGCTGGAAAAAATTTATGTGGGAAAATGTTCAATACTGCATATTTACTGCAGTTCTTGTAGAAATATTTGTTTATAAAAAAAAATCTAACCTATAAAAAGATACTGAAAAAAATATGTTCTTGTACAACATCAGAAAAATATTTGGTGAAAATTTCAGACCTCTACATTCAATACTCACCGAGAAATCGATTTTTCTCTAAAAAAGCATTTCTTTCAACTTTGATTTGTTATAAATAATCACAAATTAATAATTGGGTATAAAAACCTATTGGAGTATGTTGAACAACAATTCAGTTATCTGGAAAACTCAAATCCCCGATTAATTCTTCAAAATTATGTGATTTACAACGCAAACTTAAATCAAAAAAAGGTGGGAAGTATAATTCCCGCTAATAGTGAAAGGTTTAATTGCGTGACTCAAAAGGTTAAATCACCAAAGCTATTTTTCTCGTACTATATTACGATATTCTCTCTCTCTCTCTCTCTCTCTCTCTCTCTCTCTCTCTCTCTCTCTCTCTCTCCCTCCCCCCTCCCTCCCTCCCTCCATTCCTCCCTCCCTCCCCCCTCTCTCTCTCCCTCCCTCCCTCTCTCTCTCTCTCTCTCTCTCTCTCTCTCTCTCTCTCTCTCTCTCTCTCTCTCTTACGTAAGAAATAACAGAATATTTATAAATCCCGGCCAACGGAAAGATAAATATACTAATACTCTCTTACTGCGCCACACTGATTTCTACCGATGATTCGAGTTTAAATCACCAAGGACGCGGTAAACAAATGCAATTCGCCACGCATATATTTGTCAGCTCGTTTCATTTTCTCCCTGTCGGCTATACATTACACTTGTACGCGGTTACATTTTATACGTAAATTAACGAGACACGGGCAATATAATAACGTCAGCCGCCGGTGACTATCGTGACAATCGACGTATTAAAGATATGTTGCGAGTCTCGAATAATATCGGAAATGAGAAATACGCGCGCGACGATGAATTTGCGGCGTTCGAAATCTGGCTGCAGGGAAAATATCGCCATCATATTCGTCAGCCAAGAAATCTGTCAGACGAGGAAAGAAGGATGCGCGACTGCGATTGATACGATGCGACTGATACGCGCACTCAATGATCTGTAAATGCAACAGCGAGAAACCAACCGAGAATTTTCGGCCGGCGACAGAGAGAGAGGGAGCGAGAGGGCGGGGCAGAATTTACGCGGAGATTAGCTTAAAAATCCTCGGCTTGCTACGACCCTCGGTCGTATTTTCGCGCGAGTTAAACCTATGGCGGGCAAAAAACACGCCGATAATGCTCGCGCGGTTTATTACGGAGAGAGCGCCGGACGTAGAGAGCACGTACGGAGTGTTTTTCGCGGACGGAAGCTCCTCGCGCGGCCACTCGCGCGCGGCTGGCTAGGCCGAGGGTGGCATTTACAAATAGAGTCGGTCGCCACGCAGAAAAACATCCCCCCGGTGGCTTTGTTCCGTTTCGCGCGCGCGGCACATTTAAGCGGGCGCGCGAAAGGACACTCGGGAAACATCGATCTCGACAACGGGCTAGCGGGAAAATTAGCATTACCTCTGTGGTGCGCTTTTTGCATTTGTCGCTGGCGGCAAATATGTTCAGCTGCGAGGACCCAGCCGGTAACGGGCACTGATCTATGTCTACCCGTCGGAGGTCTACGTCGATACCGCTGGTGCCCCTGGAACGATAAATCAAACGTTTTGCGATTAGTCCCACGAGCTTTCCTACGCAAGATAGGCACAGACTTGAGCCTCGGTCTCGTTACCACACACGTCGCGAGAGGCGAAATCTCCTCTTCTTGGGCGCGCGCGTGTGAGCGAGAGAGTGAGAAAAGCGGAGGGGGAGGAGAGAAAGAGAAAGAGAGAGAAAGCGCCGGAGTCATTCATCGAAATTGAATTAGTTAGCGGAAGCCGACATCTGTTTTTACGTAGCGCTCAGATCGGCGTTCTCGACAACTGATTAAACAGTTTTCGATGGGACGTGGAGTAACATTTGTTCCTAACTGTGCGCGTCGGCAATACCTGCGCGCAAAACGCGTGTCGAACTCGCAAAACAATCCAGTCCCACCTACGCTTCTTCACTTCCAATACTTCCAGTCTCCCGATAATTCCCCACCTCGTTATATCGATTTCTCTCTCTCTCTCTCTCTCTCTCTCTCTCTCTCTCTCTCTCTCTCTCTCTCTCTCTCTCGCTCGCTCTCTCTCTCTCTCTCTCTCTCTCTCTCGCTCGCTCTCTCTCATCTTATTCTCGAGACACGGACACGTGGAGCAGGGCAATGAGACCGTGGCTCTGCACGGGAATAAAAACGTATCTACTGCCGTGTAAGAAGCACGGAGATATCGATTTGATTCGATTCCGTATGCGAAAAGCGACGCGCCATATGGCTCTCTCGCCGTGTGGAGAACTGCACCGCGAATTTCGTAATTTTTCTCAGCCTACTTCTCGCTACACAGACGCCTCGCTCGCTATATGATCTTTTAATGTCAAATCAAATCCTCCCGCCTCTCGCGCGCCTGTCTCTCTCTCTCTCTCTCTCTCTCTCTCTCTCTCTCTCTCTCTCTCTCTCTCTCTGATGCATAATTCAACGCTGCGCGCGCTGCAGCCGATTATGCGTGCAATATATCTTTCGCTGATTCTCGACTCGTGTTACCTCGATAATCCTGCCTCTAACATAAAACGCAAATACTATCTCGTGAGGAAGAAGTGTAAGATTCAGAATTTGTTGAGCAGTCGTTGATAGAAACCATGCACCTTTCTAGTTGATTAGACTACTAAACAAAGCACCCGAAAAGAAATTAATTTCAGAACAAGCGGAATCATTTAAATTTTAGAGGATTTTACTGTTATATATGGTTTCAAAAGGATTCCTCTAAAATTAGGAGGCAAATATTATAAACACATTATTCTAAAAATTAGAAGAATTATATGTTGTATCTATAACAAATAATCACTAATCTATGCTATGCCAAATAATTGCGTATATAAAAGAAGCGGTTAATAATAATTATCAATCGTGGTTTATGTGCTGTCCGAAATTGCATTAATTATTCGATGTTAGGAAACACTTACATTGTCCTCCGAAATGTTTTGTCCGATATATACTTTTCAGAAAAGATTAGAAATTGAGCCTTTGCCTTTTATGCGGCATGTAATGAACCGCGTTGAAAGGCTAACGTTCTAATTTCGATAATTTTTACTAAAATTTCACAGATAAAAGATGTAATTTAAACGTTTCTGAGTTTTAATAAAAAACAGTGCCATGTTACAATAGTAGTAATTATTTATTAATTTTTAATATAACAGCTATATAAGCCGATTTTATTAAGGTTTCTTACATAATCAAATAATTTTTCATACAATTCTCCAACATATTATTTCATATTATACATATTACATATTATACATATAATTTCATACTATTTTTCGTTATTACACACCCAAAAAAAGTAATTTCAGAACAAGTGGAATCATCTAAATTTTAAAGGATTTTACTCTTATATATGGCCTTAAGAGGATTCCTCTAAAATTAAGAGGAAAATATTATAAACATATTATTCTTAATGTTAGAGGAATTATATAATATGTTATATGTATAATGCAAATCTTATTAATTTTAATATAAATTTCCTCTTATACACAGAATATTTAATCTTTTTTTAAGAGAATTATCATTTATTCTTACTGTACTTTATTCTTACTGGTTAATTTGAAAAAATTATTATAATATATAGCGAAAAGTAATATCTGTAGATGTACTTCTGGCTCCAATTTTATAATAAGTAGACACGAATGAAATAAGAACATTATAACAAACAAATTTCCAATTAGTTTTGTTATGGACTTCATATAGCTACAAAGATGTTCATCATAACCAATTATATGAAACTAAAAGAAAAAATTATATGAAGTTAAAAGAAAGAATATACTACTGTGATCAAAAAGTATCCGAACTTTATTTTTTAAAAATCGCAGGTAAACTGTAAATCAAATCTGTTTGCTTTCTCAAGTTGGTACACATGTCTTTCACATTTGGTGAAAAAATCATGGCGTTCCTTCAAGCCGTTTGAAAGTGGCAGTTGTTTATGTCAGTGAAGATTGTTATGTACGGCGATTTTTACGATGTCGAAAAATATGAAGCAAAGAATTTGTTTGAAATTTTGTGTTGCGAACGAAATTTCGTTCACAAACGCATTCAAAATGTTGCAAAAAGCTTATAGCGATGATTATTTATCGAAAATGAGTTTGAGTGAGACGAGAATCCGTTTAAGATGACCCATGCTTTGGAAGACCATCAACGTCAACGGATAACGCTCACATTGAAAAAGTGAAAGAATTGGTGCTCCAAAATTGTCGATTGACTGTGCGAGAGGTAGCAGATGAAGTTGGAATATCATTTGGATCGTGCCAGCACATTTTGTCCAATGTATTGGACATGAAACGGGTCGCATCGCGCTTGATTCCGAAAAACCTGAATTTTCTCCAAAAAGATAATCGAGTGTTGATGTCGTCTGAGATGATTTCTACGGTATCCAGAGATAGCACATACATGAAACGGATCATAGCTGGTGATGAAACATGGGTTTGCCAATATGACGTCGAAACAAAGCAACGATCATCGGAATGGCGTTTGAAAAATGAAGCAAGACCGAAGAGAGCTCGCCGTTTGCAGTCAAAAGTCAAAGTCATGCTCACGGTTTTCTTTGATCATCGCAGTGTTATACACCAGGAATTCCTTCCAACTGGTCAAAAAGTCAATGCAAAATACTACTTGTCCGTCATGAAGCGTTTGCACGAAGCAATCCATAAGAAACGGCCGGAATTGTGGGAAAACAACCTGTGGATTTTGCATCACGACAACGCACCATCGTATACCTCGACACTTGTGAGTGAATTTCTCACAAAAAACTCAACGAATGTCACTCCACAAGCACCATATTCACCAGACATGGCTCTCTGCGACATTTTCCTATTCCCCCTACTGAAAAAACTACTTCGCAGCGTTTAGAATCAATTGAAGACATCAAAGAAAAATCGCTGCGTGAATCGAAGGTTATACCGTCTGCCGCGTATGAGCGATGTTCCCAGGACTGGATCAAACGCTGGCATATGTGCGTTGCAAGCAATGGGGACTACTTTGAAGGAGACTATAAGAATTTTGATGATTGAATTGTAATTTTGATTTTTAAAAATAAAGTTCGAATACTTTTTGATCACAGTAGTATTATTCAACTTCTTTCAGTAGATTATAAATTGTATTTGACCCAATATGGGTAAATTATCTTATATGTTACAGCAACATACCTCTTTTAAAAAACGTTCCAAATATCCTGACCTATGAACATATGATTATTTTTTCGTTTACGTCTGGAAATAGAGCATGACTGAACAAAAGAAGCCAACGTTCAAATCAACATATTCTTCTTCATATAAGAGGAAAATTAATTGATATAAGAGGAAATCCTCTTGAAATAAGAAGAAAACAGTATAATATCTAATAAATTTTAGATGAATGGTTCACTTTAATCGCTTTATCGAAAGAGGAAACCTTTTCCTGTAAAAGGCTTCGCTTAGAATATGAGACTATGGGAAAAATCACTTTACGAGTTGAAGATTATTGAAGATTATTGAAGGAGAGAGGAAGAAAGAAGATACACAAATACTAAATGGACAAAGAAAAACGGGAGATGGAGAGAAAGAAGTCAAGGGGCTGTATGCATAGGAAAATTCTTGTAAAGAAAGATAATAATAATTGTACGAGTTGCATAGCTTCTTCGATTAAATATAAGTCATGTTTTATTAATGAGATAGAAATTCCCTTTTGTTTGAAATTTTATACATATGTATGTTCAATTGAAGAAGCGTCTTAAATGAAAGAAAGCATCTATCACAGGCTGAACTAACGGAAAACTAGACAGAGGAAAGGTGCTTCGATTATGAAAGCCAACCAAGTAATAAAATATAAATATATATAAACCAACCGAGAAATAAAATTAATCAAACTACGCGCAGCCGCGCGATTATTTCGTTAAGACGAGAAACGTCTAACTTTACGGCAGAATCTCACGTGAACATCCTGCAAAGGCGAAGCTGAAAGTTAACCGGCAAAAGAGTGAGAGACTTTTCCTCACATTGTTCTTCGTGTTTTAACATCATGACTCCTTCTAATTAATTCGAGTCCGTCTGATTTCGCGATTACTTGGACGTTGCGATTTCGAAACAGGAAAAAACTCTGATATCTGATATCTGCGATTAAAAAGTGACGTCACGGAAAGACGGGAGACTATATAACAAAGCCGGTTAGCTCACACTCTTTCGATAATTGAACCGCTATCGATTCTTGATTTGCAAGAATTACGGTGCGTTCGCAGTTCGTGCTGATAACAAATTTCCTCTAAACGGATATTGCATTCTTCGGGGGAGAGAACGACATAGTCCGGTTCTTTTCCGACTGCCGGCGTTCAGCATGATTTCTGCGTGCGATGGTCTGTGAAATTTTGCATTTTTGGATTTACGGCAATAGGAGAGAGCGACGTTATTTCCGGTGCGATTGCCAGCGAATTTTCGCGACCCGCGTGAACATATAGACCTTGGATATTTCATGAACGGTGATTTCACTTAGTCTTGTTAGTCTGCGGCTGCTTTAGCTACGGCTAAATACTTTAGCTACAATTAGCAAAA